GTATAGATAATTTAATTTAGATTTATAACAAAGTAATTTATACTTGGTTTAATAAAATATTTTTTATAGAGATAATGTTAGAACTCTTTTTTATATTTAAAATCAATGTTTATCTTGTATTTGATTATGTTTATTTGCAGTTAGTTACACGAATTTAAAAATGAAGCTTTAATAGGTTGTATTTACGCAAAATTACTTATAAAATCGAATTTTAAGTAATATTCATCAATAAACAATACTTCATGTATAAAAAATAATTTTTAAGAGTTTTTGTCAAATGTTTTATAATATAGTATAGATAGATAATTTAATTTAGATTTATAACAAAGTAATTTATATTTGGTTTAATAATATAATTTTTTTATAGAGATAATATTAGAACTCAAGGATTATCTTAATTATATTTTAGATTTTTTTATACTTAATATGAATGTTTATCCTATATTTGATTATGTTTATCTACAGTTGGTTACACAAATTTAAAAATGAAGCTTTAATAGGTTGTATTTACGCAAAATTACTTGTAAAATTGAATTTTAAATAATATGCATTAATAAACAGTACTTTACGCATAAAAAATGGTTTTTAAGAGTTTTTGTCAAATGATTTATAATATAGAATATTTTTTTTATATAATTTAATTTAAGTTTAATAATAAAACAATTTATTTTTGGTTTAATATTATAAATTTTATAAAGATAATAATTAAGTATTCTGTTAGAATTTAATGATTATACTAAGTATATTTTAGATTTTTTATATTTAAAATGAGATGTTTATCCTGTATTTGATTGTGTTTACCTGTAGTTAGTTACACAAATTCAGATATGAGATAAAATCGGATAGGGATGAAATTGGATAGGGATGAACGGGTTTAAGAGTTTTAAGAGTTTTTAAGAGTTTTAGCCAAATGCTTCATAAGATAGTATATATATTTTCCAGCTGAACAATATGTTTTCCAAAAGAAGGGTAAGAATATAAGGTTTTCGTTCAACTGGTTTTGAAGAGAGTTCTGCATTTGAATAACTATAAAAATAATATGTAGAAAGTGCAGGAACTCTTGTTTCATAACTTTCATTCAAATCAGTATATTTGAAAGGAACTTGCATTTTATCTTTTCTCTTTCTATTTAAATCTTCGTGTTCTTCAACCTCATCAGGTGATTTCATAAATAGAATTTGATATTCAGGATTGAGATCTAGATATTCAAATTTATGAAATATTAGAGTATAGTAAAGAGCTTTCTTTAAACATTTTGGATTTTCATAACCCAAACCTTCTCTCGGATTAAAAAAAATCTAGATTCAGTTGGTTTGTTTAGAAAAATAGTTTGATCTGTTTGGCCACTCTTATAAAACTTTTTCTCAAGTTCTTTAAGTTTTCCGAGTAAGTGCTTGTTTTGTAATGTAAGAGTGTTGTTTTTAACAATTAAGTCATCATTTGCCAACTCTAATGATTTATGCTTTTATGATATTTCAAATATCTCTATCAGTCAAGACATCATTTTGTTCAAGCAACTTTTTATTCTCAGATATCAAAGATTGAGCGAAGAAAAGTTTCTAGCATTTTCAGAGTGTAAATCAAAAAATTTATCCTGTTGTTTTTTAAGTTCTTTTTCTAAAATAACAACATGATCTTTTTCATTTTTAAGTTTATGCTGAAAATCTTGCAATTTGAGCATCATTCTATGCATCTGATCAAGACATGAAGACTCAAGTACCTCTGCACTTGAATAAGATTTTGCATCCTCATTATCAAACATTTCTGATTATGTTCTTGCCATCAGACAGATATGAGCTACAACATCAACCTCTTCCTCATCATCTATAATATTTAGCCAATGATCATCCTCAGCCATCAAAGCCTCGCCAACATCTTTTTGTTTGGATAGAAGGAACTTGTTTTTGTAGTAATCAGTGTTCTTTCACATTGGTTTTCTACAGTTCACAACAAAATGTCCTTATTTCCACAATTATAGCACTTAGTGTTTTCATCCGCTACACTTTTTCCAAATTTCTTCTTTTCATCAAACTTCCTATCA